TTTTTGGTGTTAATGTCCTCATATGCAAAGAGCCTTGAACGATTGCAAAAGCCACTTTCCTTCCCAGCTGTAAAGCAGTAACAATTGCAGTTGCACTTGAACCTGCACAATGCCTTATCAATGTCACTTGTGGTCTAGACATCACATCAGTTGGTTTCAGTCATATGTGTATTTCTTCTCCCAGTGAAATTCAGTTTCAAGTTTCCACTCTGAAAGCCAGTTGATGCTGTTTGCTAATGTGTTGAACATAATTTTCAGTATATCTGATTTTGATCTGATTTTTTTTTTTTTGTTAAAAGCTAAAATCAAACAAACATTTTCTCACTAACCTTTAGCAATGCAGACATCAGCAGGTTTTTGAAAAAAAAAACACATTAACAGTAAAATGTCTTACCAGAGTCCTGGTTACTCTACATAATCCTGTTACTGTGTAAGATATTTTATCCATCCTACAAAGCTGTTACACTCAGCATAACTGCTTTTTGTTGGCTAAACTCTGCTAAATGGTATGGACTGAGATATCATGGCGTTGCCTATGCAAATGACAAAAAATTGCCTAAATTTATCTGATTATAGATAGTCACTTAAATCCTCCCAAAGATCTTTGTTATTGGCTTCACTAATATGTCACATTAAGACATGAGCATCTGCCCTTCTTCTAATGAGAGTTCTCCCACCCAGCAGATGCAGACAGCAGAGAGGATTGTGGGTGTACTGTAAGTATTGGGTTAATACCCAATGCTTGAAGTGCTGTTTTATTGGATTGTATTTGATTGTACAGATGAAACAAATACACTGTAACTCAGTAGCAGTTTTAAGTTTACTGCTGAGATTTGTGCCTTAATACATCAGCATTGGCTTGGGATTAAGTCGTGTTTGGGGCAACTGTAGCTCAGGTGGCAGAGCAAGGGAACTTTCAGTTTCTGATGAGCAGTTGGTACTTAAGCCTTCACTGTGAGTATGTGACTGACATGTAGTGTAAAGCATTTTGAGCAGTCAGTCCATTTACCATTTCCAGATTGAAGCCTCAAATCCAGTGAGATGCTCTGTATCAAGATGGATGAAGAATGATAGTGTGTCAAACCCAAAGAATGTTAGACAACAACCTTGAAAGCTGCTCCAGACTGGAGGTGTTAAATGTACTCTAAGCAAGTTCCAACAATCTGAATCTGCATGAGGTGAGTTTAAGTGCATAGAATTAGAGATTTGACAATTTAATATAGGGACAGGACTATAATGAGAATTTTTGAAGGGAGGGGGGTGTCCAGCAACCCCCACACTAGCACCCTGAGCCCTTCAGGGGTGATGAAAGAGTCAGAGGTGATAGGGTTGGATGTGTAAATGAGGGTGGGGGGAATTTTACTGTTTAGCCTGAGCTCCTGTCCTAGCTCCTCTCCCAACCCTTCACTGCTATTGTTAAGTGGGACTGCTGCCCGTGAACGTCACAGATTTCTGTCAAACGCCCATAAAAGAGGGACAGAGAAAAAAGCTGAGCACCATATACAGAAATCTTTTTGTCTATTTATTTCCCATTTAGACATCTCTGTTTGAAAGTCAACTTTGGAGGACTACATGGATTTCAGCTAGGAATGAAACAGAGAAATATTTCTGATTAATTTAAAAGGGTTATGGTCAGGGTTGAGAATAAGGCAGTAGCTTTAAGGGTTGGGGTTAGAGCTTCATATTGTGTGGATTCACTGCACATATCCACAGACATCCCATTAGAACAAATATTTGATAATTGACCAAATCAGAGCACAATAAAAGTTGTAGCATTTGGTACCCAATTCATTATGTTCTCGCAGAACTTAACTTTATTTTGCAAATATCCTGAATGTGAAAGCTACAAAATTTCTAAAATATGATAGTGAAGGTTTAATATCTGATACCAATACAATGACATTAAGGTCAAATTTAGTGTGTGATCAGGCTTGGTTTTCCTGACCTACTGATAACATGCATAACACATGCGTTAAGTCATATTGGTCCCATAGATCCAGGGGCCCAGGACTTTGATATGCATTTGGTGGTTGCTTTCTAACAATCAGTGCAGAGTTAAAAAGCCTGACCAAAAACACTGTCCACACCAGGTGGATCAATAAGCAATAATCTCTAATGTGATGGAGAGGAGCCCACAGTTTGTTCTGCAATTTTAATCAGTGAGGTGTCAGCTCCGAGAGTGGGTGTAGCAACTCTTATTGGAGAAATCCTAAAGCAAAATGCCTGGCATTAATAGGCCTGGCTGATGACCAGCTTTGGATTTATATTTAGCACATTTATAACTGTCAGTTACCAGGCGCTGCTCAGTCATGTTTCTTCTGTCAACCACAGTGGCACTGACCTTAGAATTCTAAGGTGCTACCTACAAATAAATTATCTCTTGTAAACATTCATTGCATTAAAGTTCACAAAGCAGTGTGTGCTTGTTAACACCTCTTATAGGTGAATGTTGGATGTGGACCCTCTGCAGAAAGTCCCATCAGCCTCATAATCATGGAATTAGTCTAAATTCTGGACAGATTAAGATGTTAGCTTCTTTTTCTATCACACTGTAGGCCACCACAGGCCCTTTGTGTCCCTGCTGATTAAACCAAAGGGTTCTTGGAGTGTTGCTGGTCTAGTCCATCGTGGACAGCATGTGTGTGAGTGAGGCTGAGTGAGGAGCCCTGACAGGGGAGGGTTGTCGAGGACACGGTCATGGGCAGCTGTAGGGGGATTACCTTTTACACACATTAATTTAAAAAGGTCTCAATCTGAGTGCAGACTGAGGGCAGTGTTATGGAGATGAGGGTTTGAGGGTCAGGTCACTGAAGGCTTAGGACCTGGGGGGCCTATTGTCTCCTTGGTCCCCCCTCACAGACTGCTCTGCTGTCCAGGACAACACAGAGATCTACCCCCTCTTCAAGGTCGGAGGTCACGGACTCTAACCCCTTACTGTGGTCTGAGCTAAAGGCAGAGACATTGCCACTGCTTTCCTTCTCATGCAAAGCAGCTCTGTCTTTCCTCAAAATACATTGTTTTTTGTTCCCATCTACAACTTTGAAGGTTATTTTGAAGGTTTATTATCATGAACGTGCCTGAAAAACAACTGGAATATTAAGATGACTTCACCCTCAGGGTTTTAATTTTTTAACGTTAATATATAAATTAATTAGTATTGCGTATGGAAATAAATTATGGGTACAGAGAATGTTCATATTTGGGTCACCCCAAAAATGTAACCCTGATGCAACAATTAGATCAAGTTAAACATTTAAAAACGAAATGAATGTCCCTTTTTCTGGAGCTGTCAACTCCACTTCAGCAGACCTATTTTTCATTCATTTTTACTTCTAACTACTCTTTAATGAATAATAATAACACATATAATAATGCTTTGCCAAGCATTGTTTGATCCCCTTCAATTTGAATCTTTCAATGTTTATTCAAGATTAATAATTATATAACCCATGTATATTATAATTTTTAGGAGTTATCCCTCTTATCTAGAGGGTCCACTTTGTGTTTCTGAAGCTGAAGTATAGGAAAGACAAAGTGGATGCTGTGATACCACTTTTTGTCGAATTGTATAGATGAGTAACTGAGACACACAGTTCTTGTTTAACTTGATGCTTAGTTCCAGTTTATGCCCATATGTTAAAAGTCACTTTGAGTTTTTATTGTGCATATTTGTGCAGAGAATCATTTAAAATCTATTTACATCCATGAAGATATGTACAAGAGCTTCCAGGTACATGGGTTGAATGGAACTGTTCTATGGGGAACAATTGGATCAGTAAGGAAGCTGTTATGATGATGATTATGGGTTTTGGCGCATCAACTGGATCATTAATAATTTAGATGTCAAACATTTGACTTCCAGTTTCCTGAAAGTCAAAGTCAAAGCAGAAACAGCTGCAGCACCATCTTCTGCTCTTTCCCAAGTTCTCACCTTCTACTATCTAACAGCTGAACCCAGCTACAGTACTAAAATTAAAAGCTGAACCATACTTACTCAAACAGTAGAAAGCTGCCAGGCAGGTGAGAAAGATTCTTGGTTTCATTTTGGATTTCTTCACACCAAACTCCTTGACTTAAAATCTTCTTACCCTTAGAAGCTGATTAAAAAAATAATCCAAATTGAGATGCGTCTTATTCTGGATTCTGGATTCCTCCTACTTTGTATCTTCTTTGGTGATAAAGCTAAAATGTATATTGTTTTATTAAAGTATTGCTATTCTTTAGCTTCCCTGGTCCCAAGGGTTTGGCCCATGGAAGGTTGCTGGTCATGTCCAAAGCTGCTCTGAGAATAGCGCAAGGAAGACACCTCAGCTTGGACAGAGCTCATTAGTTAGTCAGCCTCATTGTTGTTAGTAAATGGACAGTGATAAAGCGGCTTTCACCAGCTGCTCCAGGTTGGTGTCTTATGAACCAATCACAGCCCTGGGGTGACAGAGGGCTGCTGACCAG